GGGCGGCCGCTGGGGCCGCCGCCACTAATCTCGGTGTGGGGGAAGGAGGGGAGCTGGGGGATGAGGGATACGGCAGCATCCCAGAGCTGCTGCCACATGGACGGGGGAGGGGTGGGGGCGGGGCTGGGGGGACCGGGGAGCTCCTCGGAAGGAATCAGAGAACCTGACAAAGATGAGACAAACAAACAGAGCACACATGAGCTGGGTTGCCATGCTAGCCATCGGTCTGTTGTGTCAGATTGCCGTCTCACCTCGGTCTGTCGTCAGATCTTCAGGTTGCAGCGGTGGGGCGACCCGCTTCTGTGCCTTCGGTCGCTTCACCTGCCCTTCGTGCCTTCCCTTAGACGCCAACATGCCCTCCAGCACAGTCAGCGACCCCACCACCAGCTGAGAGGCCTTGACGCGACTCTCCAAAGTCTTCCCCACCTCCGACGGCACGGCCCTTTCCTCCTTCCGATCAAACAGACCCGATGGCCTTGTGTGCTTCCGTCGTATGTGCAGGTGGGGGACGCTGCTATCGTGGTCAAGAGAGAGGCCTCGCTGATCTCCCGATGGCAGTTGGTCGGAAGCGGCCTTGATGACTGATGGCGGGACGCCGGCAGCCGAGAATTCGTCTGATGGGTCGACAGTGACCTTGGGAGGCTTCGGCTCTTCTTGAGCTGAGCCGCCGAAGTAGGGCAACGAGTTCCACAGAGAGGCAAGTTGGAAGAAGGGAGACCAATGCTCTTCCTCAGCTGCTGGAGGGTGCCTTGGCGGCTCGGTGGGCGAGGTGATCTCCTCGACCCAGGCGGTCTCTTCAGGACGGCTGACGGCAATTGCCGTGTCGACCTTGCCACTCGCTTGCCCAACCGGCTGCGCGGCCTCAGCTGCCTTGACCGACTCGACCATAAGCCAGGATGCCAGCAGGCGTGAGAGGAGCCGCTGGCCTCTCCCTCTGGCCTTCTTGATGGCCATCCGCATCACCGGCACCACAGAACCCTCACTCCTCCGAAAGGAAAATAAAGACGCCACCCGGTTGAGCCGCCGCCTGAAGGGATGCTCCTTCCCCTGACTCGTGCCGGCTCGCCTCTGCTGCCGCCGCCTTGCCTCCTCCTGCTGTGGGGGTGGGGGCTGCTGCTGCTGCTGCTGTGGTCCTTCCTGCTGTTGCTGCTGCTGGTGGTTGTGTGCCCTGCCCCCCTGCTGCTGGTGGCTGGTGTTGTGTGTGTGGTTGTGTGGTTGTGGCTGGTGGCCAGCGGTGAAAAGCGTGCCCAGCCAGTCGATGAGGCTCACCTTCTGGGGACCTGGCTGCTCAGACGCCGGAAGAGCAGCGGCATCCTGCCGGGCGTTGAGAGCGATGGGGGTAGAGGGGTGGGAGGGAGGGACGGGGGACACACCAGGGAGCGGTGAACCAGACGATAGTGTGCGATGATGCGAAGGGGAAAGGGGAACTCGATGACGAAGCTGCAAGCAACATCCACCGTCATAGATGCAATCAATCATGCCATGCCATGCATCTCTGCCACTCGCTCTTTCTCTTGCCCATGTCCGTGCCTGTCTGTCCGTGTGTGCCTGTCTGTCTGCACGCACACCTGTTGCCGTCTCCAGGCCAGCCGCTGACCACTCGCCAGAAACGACGGCAGGCCCCTCGCACCCCTGTCACCGCTCAGCCACCCTCCCTGCCACACCCCCCGTCCCCCAAACACATACAAACACGCAGCACAGATGGGAAAGTCGCAGACCTGCATGTGTGCCGCGCTGCCAGACATGCAGGCAGACCGGGACAGTACAGTGCATTCATGGCGCTCACCGCATCTGTGTCGGGGCGGTGCAGGTGCCTTTGATAGCACGGACAGGCGAGGAACACGATGATGACCAGGCAGCACTGGACGGCCAAAGATAGTGACATCCGCTGACAGATCTTCATGGCATCTTTGCTCAGATGCCTCCGACACCTCCATCGACGAAAGCAACCATGCGGCGGGATTTTGCGAGCCGAAATCTGCGAGCTTAGCTGGCAGAATGGGGTGTCTTGTCCTTCTCCTGTTGAGCAGGGCCCATCAAGCCATGCTTCCTCATCAATGGATCATCCTTTCCTTAGCCACCGCTCATGCTGCCCTTTCAGCATTCATGCCGACGGATGTTCATCCCCACCAGAAGCGGATAAAAGGCCGCTTTCTCTCACACCGACGGAAGCAGCGTCCCTCGCGCCTTGCACGGGAGCTGCCAGCAGACGACCAAGCAGACGACGGCAGTCACGAATCCACCCATCATCCAGCGACGATGCTCGGCCTGGTTGTTGGCCCCCCTGTGCAGCTGAGGCTCGCTGCCGTGAAGAGCGTTGCCGCTGCTGACAAGATGACGGCCGACGTGTCCACATCCAAAGGGGAGGCTGTCTTGAGCACGGGAGTTGTGATGAGTTACTTGAGGACAGAGCCGGCTGTGAGGGATCCACGCAAGCCTCCTCTGGTTTTCGTGCATGGCTCATTCCATGGCGCATGGTGCTGGGCGGAGCACTGGATGCCGTACTTCTCTCAGCTGGGCTATGAGTGCATCGCCATCAACCTGCGCGGCACTAGCGGCACTCCCGTTCCTGCCTCTGAGGAAGAAATCAGGTCCATCAAGATAGAGAGGCATGTGGAGGACGTGGCTGATTTGCTTCGCAAGACGGTGCCTGATGGCAACGTGGTGCTCATTGGACACTCGTTCGGCTCGATGACCATCCTGAAGCTCCTGGAGCAGGGACTGGTGAGCCCGAAGGGTGTGGCATTGGCGTGTTCAGTTCCGCCATCCGGAAATGGGCCCATGACTGTGCGCTTCATCCTCCGAAGTGTCGTGGACGCCGTCCAGATCGTTCGGGGGTGAGAGAGAACGTAGAGAGAAGGGAGGGGGGGAGCAGAGGATGCGTCACCTTCTCCCTTGCTGTCTGCGGTGGCCATGGATCAGGTTTGTGTTCAAGCAGGCGATGACGTCCTGTGCTCTGGCACGGCAGCTCTTCTTCGACTCAGACATGCCCGAGGAGAAGGTGGAAGCCTACCGCAAGCTCTTCTGCCTTGACGGACAAGTAACAAAGCTAACCACCGAACCGTCCACACATCACATGTCACGATATACGTGTCTGTCTGTCTGTCTGTGTCTTCAGATTGGCCTCGACGTGCGTTCGCTATCCGGCAGTCTCCCCTCCCGCCAGGCCCTCCCCTCCGGCCGTGCATCGTGGCTCGACGAATCGCTGCCGCGACTGGTCATGGGCACGCGCCAAGACTACATAGTTGATGGGCAGGGAGTGGAAGAGACGGCCAGGTTCCTGGGCACGGATGCCGTCATGCTGGATGGGGTGCCGCATGATGTTATGCTGGCGTCGGGGGACAGGTGGCGGGCGGGGGCCGAGGCAATCGCCGAGTGGCTGGAGGGGAAGGTTGTTGCAAGGGCACCAGACAGATGAGGGAGAGGGATGAGGAGTGAGTGATGAGATGGATTGGCAATGAAGTCATTGATGGAATTGATTATCCATCGTACACGTGGGTGGACAAACTCACTGCGATGATCCGAATCCAAGTTGAAGGGCTGCGCTATCGACTCACCATTTCCCCCCTCCCACTGCACCAGACAGACAGACAGACAGACAGGCGGGCACATGAGAGAGAGGGGATGATGAATACACACGCACCCGTGCACATGGTGAAGTGTGGGAGGGCTGCCATCCGCTCACCACTTCCCCCCTCCCCATTGCACCAGAGGATTCCGATACACGTACCCACAAAAGGGTGTGTAGAACGCACTACAGCCGTCGCCCTACAGTTCAAATCTCTCTGCCTGCGATGAATCAATCATCCTCCCTCCCTCCCTCCCTCCCTCCAATCCTGCCTTGAACACAGACCAAAACAACATTCAATTCGTCAGCCAGCTGATATCAGCTGTGAAGGCTGAACAAACCAATCCCTCCCCTCCCCCGACACCAACGTCACTACATTTCTACGTCTACCCCTGGGACTACCGCGTCTTCTTATCTCTTTCCTCTCTCCTTCTCGCCTCGACACACAACCAGACAGACACGAAAATCAAATCGACAGCCAGCCGGGTGTCTGGCATATAGTCAGCCAGCCATGCGGTTGCAGATAGTGCAGCATATATATAAGGTTATGTACACGGGTGGATAAATGCCGGCCCGGTGACGAGAACTCGCCTCGTTCCTCGCTCTCCTGAGGAAGCCGTAGTCGCTTACTGGCAATCCCCCTCATCGAAGCCGCACTGCTCAACATTGCAAACTTCGTCGCATTCTCCGTCGCCGAGCCACTCCTCAAAACAGTACACAGCTGCACACGCACCCGATGGAACTGACCCGCCTGATATTTACGCGCACGCACACATACAAACAGCACACACCATGGCTGAGTGCTCGGTTCTCTGCCTGGATTGCTTTCCCCGTCACTTACTCTCCTCCGGTGGCGGCGTACTGTCCTCGGGTGGCGGCGTCGTGGCGCCCTCACAATCGCCATTGTCGAAGTTACACTCTTTGATGTTGCACACGTCATCGCAGATGTCATCCCCAGGCCACCCCATCGCACAATCCAACGGACAGTCGGGCATATCGGCTGACAGATAAATTCACAGATGCTTAATAGGCAAGTGAGCATCACAAATACACGCGCCTGTCTGACTTGCTCTCTCGCTCTCCTCCCTCCCTCTCTCCCTGCCTCACGTCTGTCGCAGTCGCCCCCATCGAAATTGCATTCCTCTCTATGGCAGTATTCGTTGCAATAGCCGTCACCTTAATACGAACCACATCACATACATGGCCAATCACTCACACAGATCCGCTCCTTAGAAGGAGAGAGTTGTGCTTACCGATTTCCGTCTTAGTGCAGACCATGTACTCATCAAGCTCATCCCTCCAACACACCGGCGTCTCGCAGTTGCCGCCATCCATAGCGCACGCGTCGACGGCACATGGCGCGTCACACACGTCGTTCAGCAGCATCTCAACTGCAAGAAAAGGGGAGCATCAAATAAGATACATTCCATCCGTCTTGTCCCTGCTTTCCTCCCCGCGGTGTCCTATTCGCAGCCCTTACTTGTGCATCCCTCAGCGCAATTGTGGCAGTCTGGCAACAATGATAACAACGACATAAATCCATGAACACACTCATATATCCGTCATCACGGCGCTGTCTGTGATGCACTTACCGCCGCAGTCAAAACCGCAGAACTCGTTCAGACAAGCGATTTCACAGATGCCGTCGCCCAGGGAACTGTCGTAACAGCTCGTCGAACACTCACCCTTGCAGTCCCCTCCATCACGGTTGCACGCTTCGGTGTTGCACTCTGTGTCGCACTCCCAGTTTCCTACAGGGATCCAACAAACGCACAAACGTAAAGGGTGGCAAATGAAGAGACGGCAGGGGTGTGGTGTTCAGACCTAGCTTCTCCTGAGGACAATCGCAGGCAATGTAGTTGAAGGCAGACATTGGCGAGCATATGGCTGCAGTCACACATCACACGCAGGTGTTTGGGGGTGGGGGGCGTGCCGTGTGGTTTGGTGCAGCTGATGTCTTACGATTGCGTCCGTTCCATCGAAATCACATTCCTCCACGTTGCACGCCTCATCGCAGCGCCCATCGTTGATCATTGCAGCCCGCCCATGGATATCCTTCGGGCTGCAGCCAGGCGCACACCAACCTGCACATGACACACACCCAACGAACACATCCTTCATGGAGATCTACCAGTGATCGTTTCACACCGACCTTCGCAGTCCCCGCCGTCGTTGCCACACGCCTCAACAGCACACGGTCCATCGCACCACCGATCGCCGATCCAGTCGTCCGGACACTCGACCTGCAAAGGCACACATACAGCGATGTGGGATGAGTGCGCGTTGCCATAGGACGACAGCCTCTTGTGTGATGTGCCCGTTCGCTCACCGGACAGTCAGGGTATGGCGATGAGGCGTTGCGGGTCTCCTCCGAAGGTGCGGGTGTGACGTCAGCCTCCTCCATGACAGAGGGCGGCACCAGCACACGCTGCAGCAGATGCACATAGCCATCCGTGCCCTGCTGCTCAGAGTCCAACACCACAGGAATGCCACCTTCAAACACCCCAACAACACAGACGCATATGAGGCGGCGCTTCAAGTGCATCCTCGCCCATAATATTATCAGCGTGCGTCAACGTACCAACAGTGATGTTATCCCCGTCGGCGAGGATGGGAAGCATGGATCCCTCGAGTGTCTCGAGTTCGCTGTCGCTCTGTGCGGCCAGTTCCTGTGTGCCGAGTGCGCCCCTCACGACGTGGTACTGAAGCACTGCGGTGGCGAGTGCGTCGTCAGTGGCGATCCTCTCGAAGAGGGCCGGGTCGACCTGTGTGACGGCGTCGTCGGTCGGCGCGAACACCGTGTAGACCTCGCCGGGCTTCAGGTAAGACGCAATGTCGTAGCTCCGCCAGAGGGCCTTGAGTTGGGGCGTGTCGTAGCCATTGTCGATGATGGACAAGACTGTCTGATCCGTCGTCTCGCCCTCGACCACCTGCAAAAAGCGCCTGCACAGCACACAACGGGCGAATAGACGTCATGCATCTTCCTCACTCTCACTGGCAGAGATCTCTGACCTTTTTGCTTTCGGGGCGCTCGCACAGACCGCCGCCGCAGACAATAGGAAGAAGGCGCAGAGAACACGCATGTTTGGGGAGTGGAAGCCTCTGAGTGTGGGGGAGGATAGATGAGTCGCGTTCTTTCGCAAGGGGCGGGAAGAGAGGGCAAGAAGACAGAGCCGACGTCTAAGCTCGCGCAGCGATCCCTTCTCTCTCTTTTTCGAAGTTCTCTCTTTTCTCCCCTTCCCCCAACCGCCGTGGGTGGGATGGATGGAGCGATCGCATGTAGGTAGATCCACTTACAGTGATGAGTTGGGCCTGCCAGGGGCTTTGATCAACCTGCCCATAAGATGTACCCACAAGCTTTGTACGCAGACATCTCATGTATCCACAAATACACTAAATATGCAAAATCACGCCGGCCCAACACAGCAGCAGCTCCTTCACCAAAGCACCCATCTCTCTCCCCAACAGCAGCAACACAGCTCAACGAGTCCTTTTGACGAGTCCCATACCTGCCCACGTCTCTACCCCTCTCAGGTCCAAAAACGAAAACCGACAGGTGTGTCTGGCAGTACAGGTGTGTTTTCGTACGTGCGTGCCCTCAAGGCAGAGCATGAATCAATCACAGCTCTCCATTCTGCGCCTCCCGCTCCTCAGTTTCCTGTGGCGGAGGCGTGGTGACTCCCTCACAATCACCGTCGTCGAAGCCGCACTGCTCGACATTGCATGGTGCATCACATTCACCATCGCCGCGCCAGCCCTCCCCACACGTCAGCGGACACCCCGACTCGTCAGATTGGGCTGGCACACACACCGAGAGCAAGCACACATATCGACAAACAGGGTCAAGGATCCACTGCCTGTTTCTCACTATTGTCGCAATCACCCCCGTCGTCGTCACACTCCTCTCGCCTGCACGGCTCGTCGCAAGTGCCATCGCCTGCATGCGACACGCACACATCGCACGAGCCAGCAACCCATACACCCATCCATCTGACGTCAACGCATGTGTGAGAGGCCGCTGGCTTACCGATCCACTCCCTGAGGCAATAGTCCTCTCTGTCGTTGGGGTCCCTCCAACACTCTGGCGCGCTGCATTTGCCGGCATCAAAACTGCAGTCCTCCTTGTCACATGCGGGGTCACACACGTCGTTTTGCAGCATCTCAACTGTACAGATGAAGAAGGCAGTAGAACAGAACGAACTGTTTCATTTATCCATTGTCTGCTTCCCTCCCCGCTGTGAGTGATGTGTGCAGTGCAGCCCCTACGTGTGCATCCCTCAGCGCAGCTCTCGCAGTCTGGCAACAATGACAGCACGGAGTGGATAATTATTAAGTGAATCCAGCGGTGTCCATTCAATGCGTCACAGCGCTGTCTGTGTGCACTTACCGCCGCAGTCGAAGTTGCAGCTTTCCGTCAGGCAGAGCGTGTCACAAGAGCCATCGCCGAGCCAGCCAAGAGCGCAGCCCTCCGAACACTCACCCCTGCAGTCGCCCGCGTCCTGGTGGCATGCATCCGTATTGCACTCCGAATCGCACACAAAGTTTCCTGCAAAGACATGCTCACACAAACAGAGAGAGGTCTACACGGACGGTGTGAGTACAACGCACCCAGCTTCTCGTCAGGACAATCGCAGGCACTGTAGTTGAAGGCAAACAGAGGCTTACATATGGCTGCAATCACACGCACACGAGGTGCTTGGGGGTGCGGCGCGTGCCGTGCGGTTCGGTGCAGCTGGCAGCTTACGGTCGCAGTCCAGTCCGTCAAAATCACATTGCTCCACGTTGCACGCCTCATCGCAGCGCCCATTGTTGATCATCGGCGGCTGCTCACCAAATTCTTTCGGGCTGCAGTCAGGCGCACACCAACCTGCAGATGACACACGCACAAGAAACCGCAAACAAGTCTCCAACCATGATCCCGCTTCTCACACACACCGACCTTCGCAGTCTCCCTTATCGTTGCCACACGCCTCAACAGCACACGGTCCATCGCACCACCCGTCCCCGATCCAGTCGTCCGGACACTCGACCTGCAAAGGCACACATACAGCGATGTGGGATGAGTGCGCGTTGCCGTATGACGACAGCCTCTTGTGTGATGTGCCCATTCGCTCACCGGACAGTCAGGGTATGGCGATGAGGCGTTGCGGGCCCCGTCTACCTGTAACCGCCTGCACAAACACACGCATCCAGGCATCATCCATTTCTCTCGCTCTGAGTGAGAGATCTCCGACCTTTTTGCTTTCGGCCTGCTCGCACCGGCAACAGCCAGGGCCGCACTCAGAAGCAAGATGCCGCGACAGAGAGCACGCATGGGAAGGTTTCAGACGCGAAGATGGATTCGCGCACGAGCGCGCAGAGATGAACCGCTGCGATCTGAAAAATCCGGTGAGACCTCTCCCGGTTCTCCTCACCGCAGCGGTGAGGTGAGCTACACTCTCTCCGTACCTGTGCTACGGCTAATGACCTACATCTGTTGCTGCTGATGGAGCCTGTGGATTTCGAGTACCCAACAGCGGGCGGAGTCGGCCGTGAGCTGCTCCGTCAGCTGGCGAGCAGCGGTGGGCAGGGCTCTGACGACGGCCACTCGTCCGACGACGGCCATTCCTCGTCTGATGACAGCCATGGGGTTCACCATGGGGCCGCTCAAGACGTGCCGTACAGCACACTTGGGGGCTACTTTCTCTTCATCGCCATGGTGCAGGTGGTGTCGGTGTTTTATCTGTATTACAAGTCGGCCTGCTTCATCGGACACACCAAGATAAACGACCTGAGGTTCGACAAGCGGTTCGACTTGAAGAAGCCGGGGGCCAAGTCGTTGCCGCCCACCAGATACGTGTGCGTGATTGTGTCCTTCATCGCGGCAATCGAATACACGATCAAGGCCGGCCAGGCCTACGACAAGGCCAATGGCGTCGTAAGGATAGACAGACGCACAGACATGCAGAAAGGACAGAATTTCTCTTTGTGTGTGTGTGTGTCAGTTCATCTACTATGACTTCACTCACAATATGTACTGGGGCTATGTGGTGCGGACACACACACAGACAGACAGACGGGGGATGAAGAAGAAAGTGGTGTCTCTTGGCGTGTCAGGTGGGATGCCCTCTGATCATGGTAGGTAGGGTGACTGACCCACCTACGGACCAATTCACGAAGGAGCAAACACACACAAAGTGCACAGCCGGCCGCCCACTCTCCTTCCTACCTGCCTGTCCGTCTTTCCATCCAGTATGACTTCACCGAGACACTAAATATGGATGGCTTGATCTTTTTCGCTTCTGGAACATTCGGTGGACTCACAATGTGAGCGTCCGAAGGGGAGAAAGAGGATAGACACGAGGGTCGAATTGAGTCGAGACTTTTGTCTGTCTGTCTGCTACAGGGCCAATCTGTCGGAGTTCATTTGGGGCACCGGGCACTGGGTGTGCTTCTTCTGGGGCGTCTGCATGGTTGGTCTCTCAGTCTATCTGTCACGGACTCGCCTACCTCCCGACTACCTATGTGTTGTATCCAGATCGGCACCATCTTCTATCTGCTGATGCAGAGGTGGGCCCAGCCATGCACCAGTATGTCAATTTACTCAGCCGTGCCGGCTGGTGCTGGGGGGTGTCACAGAGTGTCACAGGTGGTGGGAGTGTGCAGCAAGTACGAGGTCAGCCGGTCAGCGGCGTGGAATCTTCAGTTGGCGGCATTCACCATTTTTGCCTCGTGGCCAATCTTCCCACTCTGCTGGTTCATCCGCGATGTAACTAAGAGCACTATGCTCACGTTCCTGGGGCTCTTGTGTATGGGTGTGTTGCTCTCTGTATGCAGGATCTAGACCCCAGTCACGGCTGGGTGGATTTGTCTGTCATTGAAGTCATTTCCGGCGGTGAGTGTCTGTCTGCTCTGTCTGTCTGCACAGCCGGACAGACGTATGTGTGTCTGTGTTGCTGCGTGCGCTGTGTCCATATGCAGTTATGGATATCGTGTCGAAGCCCGTGTTCGCCCTCTTCCTTTGCTGGTACCGCGCTGAGCAGGGTGAGCGACAGAGGAGGATGCCACCAAGCGGCCTTCTCTGCGTGTGTATGTGTGTGGGTGTCTGTTTGCAGAGGAGCTTCACAAGAAGGAGGTGTTTCAGATGTTGGATTGGATAGCGGGCGATGAGGAGTTGGTCCTGGGCGACGAGAAGGTGGTGCCCGATGAAGTCATCATGGAGACAGTCCCTTCAATCATTGTAGTACGTGCACTACCGACGAGAAGTCTTCAAGTCATGTCCCTTACACACTATGTCTCTCTCGCCTTCCTTCCTGCCCGTGCAGCATTATTCCCACCATCCCCATGGCCCCATGCACGTCGAGAAGGCCAAGAAATGTCAGCCATCCAGCTGCTTGTGTGTCCTTGCTCTCATTATGGCACGTACCTTGTTGTGTGTCGCAGCCATCCGTACCAAGACAATGAAGTCCAAAGAACTCGACCAAGTGCTGGCCTCCTTCGGCAAGCACGCCCGGCCAGGTTTTGGCGTCTTCGACGACTTCACCAAGGCCGGCGGCCCCCTCAACCCATACGCCTCCCCATATCCACAATACTTCCCCCCACCACATGGAGCGAACATGCCTCCCAACGCCTTTTCATCGATGCAGCACGGGAGCCCCTATTATGGAGGCCCGGGACAGGGCCCACCCCCTCCCGTCACGCCGCCAACGAATCCCCAGCAGCAGCAGCATCAACAGCAGCAGCAAGTCGGTGGGGGCCGTGGTGGAGGGTCACCTCACCAGTCTTCAGGTCTGGACAACGAAGTGGATGCGCTGCGCGCGGAGATCGAGAGGCTGCAGGCCAAGGCAGCCGAGAAGTCGGGGCAGCGCATGAGTGGCCACGGGGGCGACAACAACCCACCTGTCACCCCACCACCGTGAGACAACCATACAGAGGCCACCCAGGACCCACAGAAGAGGGAACTGATTCCATGATGTGTCTCGCTTGGTCTGTGTGTGTCTGCAGTGACGTGTCTTATAGTCATGGTAGCTACAGCGGGCCTTCCTCGGCACTGCCCGTCCATTACGGGGCGGGCTACCCATGGGGCGGCTACTATCCCAATCCGTACTCCATGACACAGCATCAGCTTCTGATGTTACGTATGTCGACAAATGTGCCATCGATGTGCTGCGCCTGTCACTTGCTTATGGACCGTCCAAATGGGCGAGTAGTATCCTGCCTGCACACATGCAGGCAGACATACCTGTTCTGCCTGTTTAGGCATCAGTAGATGCCATATGCCATATTGGCACATTTATTCGTTTCTCCTCCCTCGTATGCACTGCACTTTGTAACAGAGAAGAGAGTGTCGTCTATCACGAATGTGTGTGCGAGGCCAGTTTGGCTCGCTCTGCTCGTGATTACGGGTAGCGAGGGTGCTAGCTTCATATGTTGCGTATCGATTTGCTAGAAGTGCTTGTGGGGCTGTGCTTATCTATCGCGTAGAGTGTAGCGGGTGGGTGTGGGCAGACCTTTGCAGATTGAAGGCCAACCAAGCACAGACAGACAGACAGACAGAAGTAAAGTCCGCATATACAAGGATCGTGTGTTGCGGTCATGCACGTGTGGCTCGTCCTTTATAAATCGTCATCACACACCATCACACACACACACACACACACACACAGGGACACGCACGTGGACACACTTGAAAAGAATGCATGCACTTGAAAAAAAGTGGCGACTGCGTCGGCTAGCCCACAAACCTGCGAAACGACCACTGATGGCTGCTGCTGCTGCTGGTGTACCCATACATAAGATGAGACGTTGCACAAAACGCGTCAAACGTCGTGTACGTAGTACCATACGAAAAACGCCTCAGTGCATCCATGGATAACCGCTAACCAACCAACCAATCAACCAAAACAAGCAACTGCAGTCCTACCTATGACTTACACTCTAGAACTGGAGACAATTTTATCACTCCTCACCCAGAGAAAAGTCGTCGAGCTGAAAATGGTCGACCGCGTCCTCAAGATTCACAGCAAGTGCCCTCATCCCCTCGCTGTCCCGTATGTAAGGCGGCGTGGGGATGCCCCCCCTGCCCACACTCCTTTCCTCAGCCGACCTGCTGTCGTCGCCTGTCGCAACGTTGTTGGCCTCAATGGTCTCTGTGGCCATCGACTCGAACCGCGATGCCAGGTTGGTCCTCGTCTGCTCGAGTGCCATCCTGGTGTCCTGTCTCTGCTGGTCCGCTCTCCCCCCGTCGCATGACGAGCTGTCGGGCTCGTTCTCTCTTGTTGTGTGTATGGTGTCCTCGGTCTTGAAGGTTATCGACATGCGCTTCTTGCTGGACTTTTTGCTGACGCCGTGTGTCATCCTTGCAGCATCACCACCAGCGGCGGCGCGGCTGGGTGTCTCGTCAGGTGGTGCCCGGTACTTGTGTGCGGCTGATGGCTCCGAGACGGTATCGGGATTGGAGTCGTTGTCTGCTGCCGCGTGTGAGAGGCCTGAGGCCTGTTTAGTTGTGTCCGGCTTGGACGTGAGGCGGGACATCTGCCCGGTCCCCTCGCGAGACATGAATGCCGACATCGCCATGCTCTCGTCGTCAGCCAGATTCAAAAACATCTGAAAACGAGAAGAGACGAGACATTCTTTGGGTGCTTGGCGGTGGTCGACCGACGGCGTGCGTACCCTATCGTCTCCTTCGCTGAATCGTTTGGACGTGGCCTTCTTGCGCAGCTCGGGCGATGTGGTCACCTCCTTTTTATAGTGCCGGTAGGCGCCCATGATGCTGTCCTGCGCGTGAAGCTGCACTTTGGCTGACACGCAGACAGACGGACACACGCATCCAGGAGTGCGCTCTATGTGTGTGTGCTTACACATTTGTGACGGTGCCCTGATCCAGCCCAGTCTCTTGAGTGATCCTGTGTTGAGCGCCTCGACAGATATCAGCCGCAGCGTGTCGATCACCTGCACCACGCGGCGAGAGAGGCACGACATCCATACAGTGAAGCTTGCAACAATTGTTGTGGTTGTCGGTCGAGCGAGTTGACTGGTTGCGTGACCTTTTCCCTGTCGATTGGGTTGAGATTAAAGATGAAGCTCTCGACTTCGTCTTCGCTCATCTTGGCGCACATGGCAATGTAGTCACGGAATATCCTGCTCACGGTCATCACCTGCACACACACACACACACAGAGCCAGTCAACTACGTCCACAACAGTTCTCTCCGCCACTGTTGTGGACAGACCTTGTTGACAACAGGTGTGTGGTGTCTGACCTTCAGTTCATCGTATCCGGGTCGCTTCATCTTGAGGAACCGCCGACACGCGTAGCAGAAGGCGATGAAAAGCGCCAGGAAGGGGCCGTACGCGGTAAACATCATGAAGCCCTCAAACACCGTCTTGTGCGGGTTCTCCTGCGGTGTGAAAATGGGCACGAAATACGAGAGTGCGACGAGACAGCTCAGGAGAAACATCTCCAACACGTTGTAGACCTTGTGCGGCCCTGCCAACACACACACACACACACACAGAGAGAGAGAGAGAGAGCAATGGCCTCACGCACACATAATACACTCTCTTCGCCTCTTCATTCGCTCACATGGCCAGAACATGACGAGGTACGCGAGCGCGACCATGTTGACGAGCATCATGAAGAGCGACTGGAGGTGCGGCTGCTGCCCCGCAACGAGTGCCAGCACCAGGAAGAGCCCCCTCACCCTGATCACAAACTGATAGTACCACCTGTCGGCCCGGAACCGCGAGTAAGACACCATGAAGTTGTAGCGGACCCGAAAACCCGCCACGGTAGGGAATTTCCTGCAGCAAACAACGCAAGGGAGGGAGCGGCTGGCTGCAAAAGACAGGAAGGGATGAGCTGCATATGAGTGAGTGGGGTCGTGCCTGGGTGCATCTCTGACTATCCAGAGGCAGAAGGAGAGGAAGCCCACGCAGTAGACCAGAAAGGCAAGTATGGCCACGGGAAGCAGCTGAAACCTGCACACATCGCACAACATTCATGAGACGACCGAGGATGCCGTCGCAGCAACCGATCCATGATTGCACCTCTGACTGACCATTCGTGTTCGTAGCAGAAGAGCGAGGGGTCTGACACCAGGTAGTATCGGCCGTTGGGGTGCTTGTTGCAAATGAAGAGTTCTAGCGACGCACGAGTCACGGATATGAAGAATGCAGAGAAGAAATGGCCGTACGTGTTGAACAGCTGATGGATGAACCAGAGAGAGATGCACATGCATGAGTTGTGTTTGGTTGCCTGAGTGCCTGCTGCTTGCCTGACCAGGTTTGCCTTGAGCGGGCTCACAGCGGGAAATATACGGTGGATGGCGTGAGACACGAAGTAGGCTACCACGAGGATGAAGCACAGCATCGAGGGAATGAGCACCCTGATACATACCATACACACAGGGCACAACAACATTATCATTCATTCAAACCAATGCGGCTGGCGAGCCTCGGCCACTCGCTGCCCTTGACCACCGACCTGATGAGGTATTTGGTCATGAAGGCCTGTGACGATATCACACCCACCACACACTCGAAGCGCATGAAGTCAAGATCTGCACACATACATGCACGTGCGTCGAGAGACATCCTTCAAGTGCACTGTCCTTCTGCTCACTGACTGAAGAGGACTATGCTGAGCACTTCGGTCATCCGTTTCCCCCCGCTGCTGCTCATCTTGGCGTTGGCATAAAGCGTCTCATATAGGGCGACGGCCTGCATGAAGTTGAGAAGCTGGCCGCCGACGGAAAAAAAGCCCGAGAACGGAGCCGACTTGCGGCGGGCGGGGCTGTTGAGCACGCAGTAGGCCATGCCGGGCGCCACCAGCAGCGCAACCAAAAACAATACGAGCACGAGTGCGAAGGTGCCTCGGGAGTTGCCGCACTCCGTGCACCGGCCCTTGTAGAGGAAGTAACCCTCCTTACACACGTCACAGAACTTTCTGCGCGAAAGTTGAGAAGGGACTGGTTGGCTCACTTCATATGTGTCTCTCTGTACCCTTCATATGTGTCGCCGCACTCCCCCGGCTGTCTCGGCCGCTCTGTAGCGAAGGCAAATGGGTCATCCGAGTAGAGGGCGCACAGCTGCGTCACTTCGGGGGTGCCGGAGAGATTGCCCGGGATGCCGCCTCCGAGCAGACCGGTCCTCCCGTCACCAGCTGTGTCGACGTCCGATTTCTTGCAGGGCACCGTGGCGGGGCAGGCGTTTTCGTTGCGGCATCTGAAAATGTCCAGCTTCCTGAAGGTCGAAGTGTTGTCGTACTGAGGAACCTCCTTGGCAAAGTACATCAGCTGAAGCACATGGCGGACAAAGACAACACAGGAGCAGAGAATGCATTCCATTGGCTGTGTGTCTGTCTATGCTGTCTGTTGGCTCTCGTACGCCGACTGGTGGAGGGAAGCTCTTTTGCCCTGTCGGGTTGATGCAGCCCTCCTGAGGACAGTGAGGGCAGCAATCAACACGCACAGTCTCTTTCATAGTACACACGGACCTCGCAGCTGCGACATTTGTGCTCGCTCGGCACATAGTAGTCATCCTCACTACCTGACACATATATTGTGGGTATATACCCACTGGATGGTCGCTGTGTGCATGCGTATTTGCATACAGATATACATACATATGCAGTCCTGCTCCGGATTGTCGGCGCCCTCAACGGAAGTCGTGAAAGTCGTAGGACACCTCTGGCCGCACCGCACCCACACACAACGCAACATCACACACAGAGCGTGGCCTCCGTGTCTCCTGCCCGCCTTGCTGCCTGCCCACCTTGCAGTCTCTCTGCCCGAGCTCGTCTTGGTACCAGCCCTTCTGACATCTCAGGCACTCCGCCATGCCATAAGTCGGGGCAAATGTACCTTTGCCCTACATGCACCAATCCAGAAACACACACGCACACGAGAGATGTCCACACAGCGGCTGGGCTGGCGAGCGCGTGTGGGTAGGGAAGAGTGCTTACACATGGGGTGCACGCGCTGCTTCTCAGGTCGTTGGAGTAGTTGCCTGCACAGTGCAAACGCATGGTCCATATATGTATTTGTTCCTTCCTGCATGTACATGCACACCTGGTGAGCATGGCAGGCAGTAGGTGGCCCCTTTCTGCCTTGAGTACGTGCCCCTGGCGCAAAGGCTGCACGTCACCTGCCCCGTGCGGTTGGCGAACTGGCCAGGGGAGCACTCAATGCATTCCTCGCGACCCTCCTGTGGCTGGAAGGACCCCACGGGGCATTTTTCGCATTCCCACTGGGTGTTCGCGAACTCGCCAGCAGGACACGTCGGAGGTTCCGACCTGACATGATGTGCACATGCATAAGACATAAATGCACCAAACCCTCTTATGCTGCCCAGCATCATCCACACTTTGGCGGCTCGGTGGTGTTGCCGGCGAACGACCACGGCCCAACCCAGTTCATCTCGCCGCCTCCAAGTGCGAATGCACCGGGGGTAAGCCACGCCTGCGGCCCGGAGACGCCGGGAATGCCCGTCTGTGGGGCCTCGTTGATGCGGTAGAACTGAGTGAGGGGCAGGGCGTCCGCACGGTTGCCCGTCGCGTTGTCAAAGCTGATGTTGCCACCGATCCCTGAGTGGCCATAAAATTCAATTGTCGTGCGGCTGCCTGCCTCTTGACGTGTGTCTCTATGGTTTGTCTACTAACCGACGACCCCTGGCATCGTTTCGAGCTCGTGCTTCAGCGCGTATCCACGCACTTTCTGAGAGGAGTGAAGTGAAGCTGTCAGCGGCAAAGACCAAAATGTGTCCGCAGGTGTGCCGCTTACTGAGATGGGGGTGCCTCTGCTGAGCAGTCGGTTTGTAGCTGTGATCAACGCCATCATCCCATCAAACGCCCGAGTACCCTGCCACAATATATCATCAACACAAGTCCACCTCCTTAGTTGTGCTTACCCACCTCTCCCTGGGTCTCTGGGTCGGGTTCGGGTATCTCTTTGAATATGTCCGCGTCAGAATGATTTGCATGGATAAAGCCATACTTGACATAACTCGCAGCCAGACCGCCCTCGTAGAAGATGCCTACACACGTGCATTTGAGGCACGCTTCGTCTCTGATGCCTAGCTAGACGCACGTGTCTCACCATTCTGGGCAGTGCAGTTGGACTCGCTCGTGACATTCCGGTCGCAGATGCCCTTCTTGTCACAACCACCTAGGGAGGCAGACAGGAGAAAAAGGGTGGTCTCCCTCCACATGTCGATAGACAGACAAACCGTATAAGTAGCACGGCATCGGCTCAGGGAAGTCCGACGGCTTCAGCGTGTTCCAGAAGTCCACAAAGCTGCACGCAAATTCATGAGCATGGAGAAGAGACATGCATGTGCAGGTCTGCATGTCATTTGTCTTAGTCGACTCACTCACGCGCCATAGTTCTGCCCTCGAACGTCGGTCCGCTCCACCATCCCGCCAGCAAATTTGCCAATCACGTCCGGCGTCCAGTATAAAGGACTGCACGCATCCATGAGGCACACACACAAGGAAAGTCGCACATTTCCGGAAGGCGTGGCCTTTTGTGTCGTCGTCTCGACCCCTCTGGGCTGGTGACGATCTCGGACGTGATGAATCGCCAGAAATATCCTTTGCCCACCAAGCCCTTCTCTACCACTAGTGGCAGGAAGACGGAGAAGCCGCGCTGCATCCGTGAGACACATGGGGAGTGACTATTTGTGCATTTGAGTCGAGTCCTTTCTCTATGTACCGATAAAAAGACCACGAAGATTCGATTGCTTGCCGCCTCGATGCTCGCGTCTATTCGGTTGCTCCTGTACACACAGCACCATACATGCCGTATGTGCTTCGATTTGTCCTTGTCCCATCACTCACTTACGCACCACAGCTGTCTGGTGACTTCGACCACATAGTCATAGGCCTCCTTGGAGTCGAATTCTCGCGGGTCGGGGAACTCTTGCAGCGACTCGCCACGCAGCTGCAAAGAAACAGAGAGAGAGAAGCTGACACAGTGGTCGTCTGCTCGCTCACTGTGATGTTCTCATCCTTGGTGCAGTAGTCGAAGCGATTGAATTGTTCCTGTCCTACGCACCCATCCCAAGCAGGCAAGTCATGTTCTATTCGCTTGCCTCGGGGCATACATAAGTCGGTGCCTACCGATGGTTGTGTCAGGGTAGAAGTATGTGATCCTCTTGAAGCTCCATTTGGTAACGATGCCTCGGTAGGGCTCGCACACCGAACCACCATGCAGCGTCCTGCATGCATACATACACGCACAAATAGTCAACAAATAGTCAACAAGAAGGATGTCTTCGTTGACTGACCTGAAGAAATATGGGTAGAAAGACCTCAGCTGCAGATCGGGGTCCGCGGACAGATCAGACACCTGGACGGTGCCAAATGCAGAACCTGCACGCATCGACGCAAGACGCAAGGCCTTGGCGACTCTCAATCGCACACGGCTGCCCGTGTGTCTTAGTACGTACCGAGTGATGCTATTGCCCTGCTGGCAGACGATATGTGACAGCACATCAGAGCATTCACTGAACGGCGGTAGAGCACAACGCATACGACAGACATACATACAGAGACACGAATACAAGCCAACAGATAGTATACCCGCATTACCTCCTGTGCTGGTCCCTCCGCATGGCCTCATCAGCTGCGAAAGGAACAGATGACGAACAAACCACCGATGCCGTCAGACCATACGCCATTTCCTTCCCCCTTACCATACCTTCTCTGCCCATTCTATCGTCCGTGTCTGAAAAAGAAGAGACACAGACACACACACACACACACAGAGAGAGAGAGAGAGAGACGTCTCGTGCCATGATGCGTGTATGCGCGGCACAAATACGTACGTACGCACACCTGGTTCCCCAGCGTATCGATGATATCCAGCTGGATGTCAAAGTCCCTCTTCTCTGCCTTGGGCACCGGCAACAGCGGCCCGTAGCTTCGCTCCCAGACAAGCTTGGCAACCAGCGCTTGAATCGGCCAGATCCACGCGAAGCTCTGATACCTGCGGACAGCATCATCTCTACCCGGTGTCGGGATGAGTCTGTGTGCTCGCACCTGAAATCACCTCCATAGCCCAGGTGAAGGGTGCCATCTGCCGGCGCAGCCGCCGCTGGCCACACGCGGAGAAACACGAGGGTCACTGACAGGTGGAAGACCACTCTTGTAGTCCGAGGACTCATGAGGCACCAGCTGTTGATGGATGAATGTGGATGAAATGAGGCAGAGGCTCAAAGAAGAAGCCCCTCACCCATAACGCGCATGTGCGAGCTTGACATGGGGGAGGTGGGGGCCTCGAGAGAGACCGCCCCCTCCAATACGCGTGTGCACCTGGTCTGCAGCAGCTCTCTGGGCTTCGCAAAGTCCGGTAAGTCCGGTAAGTGCGACCGTCGTGACGATCCCAGTCGTTTGTCTGGGGGCCTCTGGGGTCAAACTTCAAAGGCAGCGTGGACTTTCGAAGTTCCCTGTCGCCGCTTGTCTGGTATAGCTTCTCGAATTCTTTCCAAGTAGCCGCTGGTACGGTTCTCAACTTTGTAAGCCAGTCAGTCAGGGAGAAAATGGGTCTCGAGATCCCCGTCTCACACTGTCTGAGCTCGCAGGGCCTCGAGCCCTTTTTCTCCTTACCATGACGGCTGCTCGGGCCACACCTGCCAGCATCGTATCCAGCTCGAGCAGCTCTGCAGAATGAGTACAGAATCGACCCCAGTCTCAGCAGACTCAGCCCATCCGCCCCCGCCGTCTCAGGAGGGCGTCTCTGCAGTGGTGGGAGCCGATGCCTCGCCCTTGCAGCCAGCCGCTGGTCCTGTGCGGTGTTGCCCATGCAACGAACGCCAGAACAAGACCACTGGATCGAGATGCAAGAGGAAGGGGAAACAGCTGGGCTGCCCCTGTTTCGAGAAAGGCAAGAAGTGCACTAACTGCCATTCCTGTGACCTAGGCATATGCGAGAATCGAGAGCCCGAGGACAATAACTCCACCGCCGAGGATTCGAACTCCCCCTCTATTCATCCTCGTGGCTTCCACTCGGATGAGTATTCGTTACGAGGCGGATCCGCGTCGTATGTTCCTCCCCAGTGTGCCAGCTGCCACACACGCCCGGCGTCCTCGAGCAAGGGCCTCTGCTATGCTTGCCTCTGCAATGGTGCCGAGCCTCCCCACCGCCCGCCTCCTGGCATACCCCTCGCTCCCCCTGCTGGCCCTCCGACGTCTTCATTCGTCCAGGAGAAGATGCACGAGGCCTTCGGAGCCACCGACTTCAATCAGCAGAGCGGCCTCATGGACACCGACTGGCAGCGCTGGCACGCTCGCCTCGGCCCGCTGCGAGGGTGCCTTTGGGATCCACCGGGTGCTTCGATGAAGCGGATGGCCCGACTGCTCGCCACCGAGGCTCGTCGCTGGCGTGAGGAGCAGCTGGCGAGTGAGCGCATCCTCATCTGCGCGTGCACGATTCTCTATCGGGCGCCAGATGTCACTGGCAGCAAGGACATCGCCAAGACGGTGGAGCGGCGGATGGACCAATGGGAGAAGGGCGACTTTGAGCAGCTCGTGCAGGAGGCTGAGCGGAACA